CCAGGCTGGCTTCCGGTCTTGGCTTCAGAGGCGGCCCATTAACAATGAAGAAGCGCCCCGGCCCGAGGTGAGGGTGGCAAGCGGGCCGGCGCGTCCTGGGACCCATATTCCAGATCCTTTTTCAAGCCCCAGCCAAGACTTCCCTCAGCTCGCGCTGGCTCGGAGGAAAGCTGCCGCCAGGGGGCGCCCGCACTTCTCCTTTCTCCTGCCAAGCAAAAGTTCGCGGGGCTCCCAGGTGGACAGAACACAGGCCTCCCTGTCCATTCATTTCACACAGCTTCTTCGCTTCTTCTCTGGGATGCGGAACATCGCGACACGAGCTGGGTGCTGGTCACTGCGGGACGGGACCTCAGTTGACCACCCAGGTCTCCCTGGCCTTAGTTCTACTGGGCTACGACTCCAGGTAGCCGGGTGGGGTGCAACTCGGCTACGCCCCCTACAGCCTGACCGCCTCCCAGAGCCTGGCCTTCAGGGGGCAGACTCTGGTCACCCTGGTCCCTGTTGCTTCTTCAGCAACCTCATTATAGGCGTCCAAGGATTGTTTATTTAATGACCGAGAAGCTTCAAAGATCACAGCATCTCTGCTTGGAACTGGGGTAAAAGAATCTTCCACATCCTAGCTGTGTCCCCAAGGGAGTCTGTCTGAGGCTGGAAAGAAAAACATCGCGGTCGATGTCAACGTTCTCAGAAGATCCCGCTTGGAGCAGCCTGGCCCTTCAGGCTTGGCGACTGAGGAGCCCCCTGAACTGCAGGAAGGGACCCAGTGCAGCGCAGGCTCGTGAGCAGCACGGGCGGGGGGACCCCTTTGCTCCTGGAGGCCGGGCCCAAGACTCTGCCCTCTGTGTGAGCCCGGGCGCCTGACCGCAGAGCAGGAAGTCGCAGAGTCCAGCAGGAGTGAGGACCCAGGGCAAGTGGCGGGGCACCGCAGGGCCTGCAGACCACTGACTGCAAAGCTTGTGTTTTAAAAAACTTCTTGCAGCAGGGGGAAAAGAACGCAGGGCTTTGTGAATGTGGGGCAAGCGCTCTGCCCCAGAGCTGCACCCCCAGCTCCCAGGACGCCCTGATCTTTAAGGTCCCTGCTGGAGTCAATGGCCCTGAGTGTGGGGAGGACCTGTTTGGTTCTGAATGGAAGCCAGGCCCACGCCTCCCACCTGAGGGAACCCGTGGGCCACTCACAAATAACAGCAGACACTTGTTCTCGCGGACAGCCCCACAGCAGCCCAGGAAGCCAAGCAGGAAGAGCAGGCCTCCCATGGCCAGGAGGATGTAGACGCCCGTGACGAGCAAGGGGTTGGCAGCTATGATCTCCCGGAAGCCGGTGGGGTCCACCATGACCCAGACGCCGATGCCCAGCAGGCAGGTCCCTCCCAGCTGCACGTGGAGGAGGAGAAAGAGGCAGACATGGACGTGAGACTCTCCTGGGTGGGCTGGGGGCAGAGGTGCTGGCTGGCCTGGCGCTGCTGCGAGCTTTTCTAGTTACCCTGCCCTTAAGCATCGTCTGAGTCTGATTTCTGACCCGCACCCCACCTCGGGCTGCAGAGGACCAGCTCGAGCAGCTCACATCTGCTCCTTTCATGTTCTCCTGCAGTGACAGAGCTGCAGGACCATGGGGTCACCTCGTCCAACCCTGCAATTCCATCCCACAGTGAGGCCCAGGGGTGGTGGACTCACAGCAAGTGTGGCAGAGCTGAAGCTACACAGCGGCCCCCTGACACTCGGCGAAGGCTGACACATACAAACTGAGACCTATGCCGTGCCCGTGCCATCCGCGCTAGGGCCTGGGCAACAGACGTCATTGTCATTGTCCTCAACAGCAAGCTGGGCTCCCGCTGTCAAATCCGCAGCTGGAAAATGTTCTCAGCTATGCCTCCATCTCTTAGCTATCTTGGGAGGGAAGCAATCAGTACAAGCTGAGACTTCAGGTGAGTGGCTCAACCTCTCTGAGCCTCAGCTTTCTTGCAGTTGAAAATAGACTGGAATTCCCACCTCCCGAGGAAGAAAGGGTAAAATGGGAGTGAGTGTGTTTAGCAGATGTCAGCAACTGGCCTTTTTGCCTGGGGCACCGGCTGGCAGTGGATCCACTGTGGTGAGAACCGACACTGGGCTCTGTCAGATTTGAGCACAGGAGCCCAGAGTCTCTTGCAGAGTGACAGGCCGAGGGACACGTGGGCCTGGTGTCACTGAGCAGGGTCCACAAGGCAAGGCCAAGACCTTTGGCCCGAGCAGGGCAAGGGGCAGAAGAGGAAGACAGAGCTTAACTGCGGAGCTGTCCAGCCCCAGGCACCAGAAAAGGAGCTGCACCTGACATCCACACCTGCCGAGGTACAATGCCACGAGATGGAGAAACTGTAGTTCAGAGAGGCAAGATCCAAGTTTCAGTCTCACGGCCGGTAAGGCACAGAGCTGGGATTTGAACTTGTAGCCCAGAGGTTTCCACTTCCCCTGCTCTGGGGTCTGCAGGGCCCACCCCTGCTGTGACACAGGGGCTCCCGCGCCAGGGACTTGGCACCCAGTGCTGATTTCAAAGCCCCGGGACACTCACAAATATGAAGAAGTTGAAAACAAACATCAGGTACTTCATGCAGCTCAGACAGTCGCCCTCCATGATGCTCCACCTGCAAAACACAAGGCCACTCAGTTCTCCATGGGGGTCTCCGCCCAGGGGGCCCAGCAGCCCCCACTTGCAGTGGGTGGCAGCAGGGGACAGCTAACAACCCCTCTCCCAGGGATCAGCGATGTGCCAGGATTAAGCCCTTGATCTGCTGTGCGACTTTGGGTAAATTACTCTGCCTCTTTGAGTCTTGCTGTCTCCAACTTTAAAACAGGTTAAAAACAAAACCTCTTTGGCAGCAGCGAAAATGGTACTGCTTCAAGTTATTACTCTAGTGTGGCGTAAGCCTGCGGTGTGGGGGACGGGAAACCTAGGCTCAGGGCCTGAGGACCCACCGGGCCCGAGTGCCGACCCCTCCATATGCACTACAGCCACAGGCCTGCCCAGGGCCATTTCTGGGTTCTGGCTCCCACCTGCTCCCAGGAAGACCTCTCAGCCCTGACCTGCAGCCTCCAGCACCCCACCTGCCTGGGGCCTTCCCAGCACGAGCACCCCTACAGCCAACACTGCACACAATTCTGTTCCACCCCCATTTATTGAGCATCTACTGCATGCCAGGCAGTGGGTTCCGAAACCAGGCAGTGCAGCCCTTGCCCACCCTGGGGGAGCACACAGCACCATCCACTCAAGATCACGAGGCACAGCCGCTTTCAGTGTGCAGCACCCCCACAAGCCCTGGGAGGGACTCTGGGTATGGACTGGAGACCTGGGTAGCACAGGAGGAAACTGAGGCTCGGCAGGGAAAGGACAAGGGCAGGGCGACCAGGTGGGCAGAGCTGAGCTCTTTCCCAGGTACTGCTCGGAGGGGGTGGGGCATCTACAGTGGCTTGGGCAAAGCATTCTGGGAGTTTGTGGTTGTGGGAGATGCTGTGGGAACTTTCTATGGCTCTCACGTCCTCACCAACACACAGCTGGGCTCCATTTTCTTCATCCACAAGGGAAGGTTAAGTCCTATTCAAAGGGTTCTTCATGAGGCTTATTATTAACATGAATAGTAAAGTGCATACCAAAATATCACACTGTACCCCATACGTGTGATTATTATCTATCAATTTAAAATAAAATAGAGATTAAAAAATAACTCTCGCCACTGTTTGGGGAGCCAGGTACTGCAGCACGTGCTTTATACACATTGTCTCAGTTAATTTTTAATTTTTTTTTTTGAGATAGGGTCTTGCTATGTAGTCCAGGCTGGCCTTGCGCTCACAGGATCTTCCTGCCTCAGTCTCCCGAGGGCCGGGAAAGCAGTGCAATGCAGACCTCAATGACCCTGAACCCCGCACCAGCCCAGCGAGGCGTGGTGCAGCCACACAGCATGGGAGGCAGGGGCCAAAGCCTGGCACACGGGGGCACTCAGTGCTCCCTTCATCAGCAAGCAAGGCAGCGCCTCACCCCCTAAGAGGCAAAGGGACCACAGCTGTCCCCGCCACCTGCTCGCCTGGACACCTGGAGCCCAGTGGACACCCTGATGGGCACAGATGGTGCTTGCTGTGGTCCCAGCCCCGAGGCCCTCCTCTTCCTCCTCCTGCCCCGCGGGGCCAACTACACCTTGGAAGACTCACAGCTGGCCAGGCGGCGCACCACAGGTCCTCGAGCGTCAATTCAGGATCAGGGGAACACTCCAAACCCGCCTAGCACAAGCCCTTCTCATACTGTTTGGGGGAACTGAGGTACCCACCTAGACACCAGGTATTAAAGCCAAGGCCATTCAAAAGGAAAATTGCTGAGGAAACCTGAACCGTGGGCTTGGGGTTCAGAACCTGTACCCTTCAACAACACCCCAAGGCCTTGCTTAACTCGAGGGCAGGATGGGCAGGGTTTCCTGGGGTCAGGCAGCCCTGGTCTCCACCCTGAGAGGAATCGGGAGGAACCAAGTGTCTAGTAGCTTCAGGTCTGGCCTCTAGCTCCGCAGTTACTACCCACAGGCACTGTGAGGCACGCAGTCTGGTTTCCAGAGGTGGACACGGAGGAGGCCGGGGGACTGGGTAGAGGTGGCGGCTGGTGAGTGGCAAGGCCAGGATCTGGCCCTGGAATGCACTGGAAGGTCAGAAGTTGGGCTGTGAGCAGGGCGGGTGGGCAGGAACCCTCTCTACAACAGCCAGCGTGGCCCGAGCTCATGAAATGCCCGCACTCCAGAAGTGGCACTGGTGGCACCGTCCTCCCCGTCCCAAGGGTCCCTAACATGAGCCAGCCCTTCTGCTTGGGTGGCTTCTGGGCCCTCGCTGATGCTCACTTCATTCCTGCTTGTCTTCAGGGCCGCCACGGGCATCACCTCCTCCAGGAAGCCCTCCCGAATCCCCTCCTGTGTCCCTCCTCAGTGCCTTCCCTAGGTGCCCATGGCTTCTGCTGACATCCACTGCTGCCCACGCTGCGGTAGGGACCGCTGTGGCCTCAGCCTGGGCGTGGGACAGTGTAGGTGGGGTGGATTTGAACTCTGCACAGGCTCTGGTGAGCAGCAAGTACCGGGAGCTGGGCAGGTGCCAGGCTCAGGGCTCTGTGGGCAGCAGCTCCTCTGTGTCTCCACCCTGACAGCCAGAACCAGGAGGCCATGGACTCGGGCCTGGAGCCGGAAGCCCCGCCTCTGCAGCCCTCTTCCCTGCTCTGTCTATCCAGGGGGAGGCTGGGCCCACACCCTAAACCCTTATGCCCTTCTTTCCAGATTTTTTTCCCTAGGGCCTCTGTACTGAGCCACATCTCTAATCCTTTTTTATTTAGAGACAGGATCTCAGTAAGTTTGCCCCAGCTGGGCTCAAACTTGTCATCCTCCTGCCTCAGCCTCCCAAAGTGCAGGGATTATAGTGTGCATCACATGTCTTGTTTTCCAGATCTCCTTTGAAGCCTGCAAGCCAAGAGCTGCACAGGACATGGGGGAAGTACAAGACCTGTCCCTTTCCCAGTCCAATCCCCTTCCTGCTGCCAGCAGAGGGCAGGGCACCAGCAGCTCTTCTGTCCGTCCACGCAGAGCCAAGCGGCTGTTACACATCCTGGCCATCGACGCTAGGTGTGGGCTTTGCTGTGTTCCCTGGTCCCCAGTCCAGCTGTCTTTCCGTAGGAGGGCCCAGGAGGCTGACTCCCAAGCCCTCCGTCAAGCCTGCTTCCACCACACAGGGCTGGGCACAGCCCCTTGCGGTCAGACCCCAGGATCTGACCCCAGCACCTCACCTGCTGGCCCTCAATTTCCTCATCCATAACAATGGGTGCTTAGGACAACCACACCTTGGCCAGCAACAGCACTGCCAAGGAGACCGAGTGACAGTCACCCCACTCCACCTGGCACAGAGGGTGGAGCCCACTTTGGTGGCCACACCTCCCTCTGCCTTCAGAGGCCACTTTGGCCAGGACCTACAGGGTGGGAGCCATGGCCACACCTGTGCCTGAGGGTCCCACAGGCTGAAGGCCCCTCTCTTCAGCTCCTGCTGGCTCCACCTCCTTACCCTAGAGACCAGGACTCTGGGTAGGGCAAGGGGACAGGAAGGAAAACTCAAACACAGACCCAGAGGCGGCGGTGCTGAGCCCATGTACAGGTGGGACACGGTGGCTCAGAGAGGCTGAGCAGCCTGTCCAGTGTCACAGAGGTTTACGGAACAGCCGGGCCTGATCCAGCCTCCTCCAGGTCCGGTGCTGTCCCGGGATCAGACGCTCAGCACAGCTGGGGCACAGAAGCACGCGCTCTGTAAGGCGCTGCTGTGTGATCCTGGGCAGACCACTTCCTCTCTGATCTCAGAGGCCCCATCTCTAAATGACGGAACGGGAACTCGGTGTCTGCTCTGTTTCTTGTCACTCTCTAGGGCAGAAGCAGCCACGGGAGTGACAGGCTCAGAAGTCCACGCAGGAGGAGCTCTGGCACCCTCCCCTCTGCCTACTGGGACAGAGCTTCCCTCGGGGGCCGGACCACAATGGCAGCTCCCATAAGGCTGTGGTGTGTACGATGTGCCACGTTCGCGGCCCGTGGCATGTATGGCTGGGCTTGCAGCGGTCTGGGCCATCTCCAGACAGAGGGCATGGATGCGACGGGAGAGGTGGGGCACGGTGGGGGAGCGCAGAGGGCCCGGGTGCCTGGCAGGAGCCCAGATCCCGGCTCCAAGGTGCCCTCCTCACCAGGCACAGACAATACTGAGTACAGCGCTTGGTACAGTAGCTGATTCTCCTAACAGCCAACGAGGGCTGGCTCACCTCCAGTTCTTACTGTGTGCCAGGGGACACATATGATCACTCAGTCCTTGGAAGCCTGGGAAACAGGTAATACTATCCCATTTTCAAGGGCATCACATTGAGGCTCAGAGAGGTAGAGTCACTTATGCAAAGGCTCACAGCACAGAAGTGCTGTAGCCACAATTCTTAATCATCATTTACAATAAATGCCAAATCTCTAGACCATTCGGTTATTTGACATCAAAGCGCAGACCTGTCCTTACCTGCTAAGCCATTTTATGTCCCATCACCCCAGGACCACAGCCTCCTGGGCCATCATCTACGGCAGGAGAAACCAAAGACCAGTCAGTACCAGCTACTCCACCACCACAAGACTTCTGAAACTAGGGATACATCTCCATCACTCATTGGTCAGACTGGCATGACAGACGTGGATGCTCCAATCTCTACCCAGATTTGGCTGTAGCTCCACCCCTCCCAATCTTCAAGTAAGAACTTCCATGGGGTTCCCTAATATACCTCTGAGAGGAGAACAAGGAGGCATTTCTGGAAGGTGGGCCGTGAGGTCCAAAGGCTTTGTTGGTCCTCAAAGAAGTGATTCAAAAGGCACTGATGAAGGAGACCAGAAGGCGCACCAAGGTCATCCCTGCCATTCTACCATTATGTTCAGTGGTGGGGACCCCGAGACAGCAGTGTCGATGAAGTCATTTTCAGTATTTCACAGAACAGCTAAGAAATCAACCTCTCCTCACAGGCCCGCTCAAGGGACAAGTGTCTGCGGTTCTGGAGCAACTAAATCACACCAGGTGGGAACCCTTGTTTCTCAAGTTGCTTGGGAGCTCTGGCCACCAGGTCTGTGTGACTCTGCAGAACCAAAATTAAGGAGGACATTTACTGTGCTCTTCACAAATGGCTTGGCAAAAGCAGCACTGGTAGGTAACGTTCTTTACATCCTGGCACAGGGAGGGATGAAACGCGCCGGGAGAATGAAAAGCCGGGAGCCGATGTGACAATGAATTCCACTGCCTCTGGATGCCTCCGCCTCCCCCTGCTTCCTGGAGGCAGCGTCTGCCCCAGGGAGTGTGATGGGGTCGCAGTCTCAGGGTGCAGGGGGCCCGCCTGGCCCCGGAGGTCCTGAGCTGACAGATGCCGTTCTCACACCACACGGCCCCCGAAGCACCACCTGTTTCCTGTGTCACCAAACCAGGCGCTCGGGGGCTTCAAGGGCAACTTGTGTTTGCTGTTCTTGCCTAGGTGCTGATGAGAATCCGGCCCACAGAGAGACACGCGGCGGCACTGAGACGGAAGGGGCCTGGCCGGGTCCTAAGAGTTGTCCGATGGGTCTGCACCCAGATGTGCGGCCTGGGCCCCGCGGCTACAGCACTGAGTCCATGTGCTACTGGCTTATTTGGGTGGCTTTAGGAAAAGGTACGCTTTGTACACGTGGGCTGGGTTGGTCCAGTGCCACACTCCCAGCGTCTGAGGCAGTTCTGGGCACAGTGAGTGCGAGATTAGTCTACCGGGACGACAGAGTGAGTGAATGTGGGCAATCATGACCAAAGACAGCACAGCAACAGAACAGTGGAGAGAGAGGTCAGAGACACAGTCGAGGCAAGTCAGAAAGGGGGCAGCCAGACAAAACCGGCACAGAGACAAACAAGGCTACAAGAGGCGCAGGAAGAGCAACAGCTCGGCAGACACAATGGGGCAGGGGATGATGGCAGGGACAGGGCAGGGGGCATAGAGAAGAGAGGCCACGCAGCCGGCTCGTGTCTGTGTCCTGTGGGCCCACCAGAGGGAAGGGGCCAGTGTGAAAACCAGTCCTCCAGCTCCGAGGAAAAGCTTGTGGCTCCCGGGGCCACTCCACCAGGGGTCAGTACCAGCTGGCAGCCCCCGGGGCCAGCCCGGGCTGTGGGCGATGCTGACGGCCACCTGTAGCACACACCTGGATGTCACCTGGGCACGTAGGGTGGGTGCCACCCTCATCCTGCTTTACAGATAGGAAGCTGAGGTCAGGGAAGGTAACTGTGGGCCTGGCCCCGCCCACTGCGACGTCTGACTGTTGGACTTCAAAACAGAGCACTTGACAGGGTCCAAGGCCGCGGAGCAGCAGAGGGGACACCAGAAAGCGGTGACGCCCGCCTCTGTCCCCACAGTCTTGCTGAGTGCTGTTCCGCCTTGAGTCAGACAGCCGAGCCCGAGCCAGCTGGAGGAGCCGGGGACAACCCAGCCCTTCCATCCCGACAGATGGGAGCCCCGAGGCCCCAAGAGGGGCAGCAGAGAGGGGCCAGGGTCGTGCGGCGCCGCAGGGCTTTCCCCAGCAGGCTCCCGTCCGGCCAGACGGCTTATTCATCTCCCCCATGGGCCCAGATGGCTGGGCCCATCTGCAGGGAGCAGCTTGGGAGGGTCTCGTTCATAAATCACTCCTTTTGCCCGGGGCATGCTTTCCGGAGACACAGCAGAGAGGCAGGTGGACAAGCGTCATGAACAAGTCAGTGTGGGGCCGGGGAGGACTCAGATGACCCCACACAGTGGACTGCAGTGAGGACCGATGACCCCAGTGCTCAGCCAGCAGGGCCGGCATCCACCTCCCCCACCCAGGCTGGGCAGTGGAATGCAGGTCACCTGGAACTGGGGGAGGCCGACTCAGGATGCAGACAGGGAAGGGACCGAGCAGCACAGAGCCCCGTCATGATGTCAGACACTGAGTTCTGGACGTTCACTTCCAGCACTCTCTCTGCACCCTCCAGAGCCCCAGCATGCAAACTACTGCCATCCCTCTGAGGGGAGGGACTCTCAGACACAGGCCCTGGAGTCCCCGTGCACCACACCAGCCTCCACCGGGCCGCTGGCTGGAAACAGCCATGGTCCTTGTGATTGGTGTTCAGGGAGGGGGCTGGGGGCTCATTCACTCACTGGCTGCTCCTGCTGGGCCAAGGCCCAAGACAGACGGGCTCGTCAGTGAGCAACTGGCCCCACAACCTGGCAAGCCCAGAGACAGGAGGACAGGGACGCTGGCACAGCTGAACGAGGCTAGAACCTAATTAGGCTCCAGAGGCGGCAGCCCCCAGGGTCAGGGGTACCCAAGCAAAGCCTGCTGCAGATGCAACTGTACCCTAAACAATGTCTCCCCGACTCTACCCTCATTGACCCCAGAACTCTGCAGTGTCTGGGAAGTCCCTGGGGCATGCACTGGCCCTGCCACCAGCCCTTCTGACCAGAGCTCTCACGGGGTGTTTGCACCAAAGAGTTCCCAGGGAGGGCCGTGCCCTGCCCGTCACGCCCTCTGCGGCGTGCTGGGGGCCCAGAGAGGGATGGGGTCCTCCCAGAGCCGCACAGCAAGTCTGCTGCTGCTCCCTTACCTCAGCCTCCAAAGACTGACACTGGATTCCTAGAGCCCTTGGCACAAAGGACCTCGCTGAAGCCCTCACACCAAAGCTGTGGAGCTGAGGACAGGAGGGCACGTAGGGGGAATTCAGGGCATATCACCTGATGGACTCCTGATGGAAGAACAAACCTCCTCCTAGGCTGTGCTGTTCCGTGGCCATTCACCCACCCAGCATGTCCCTCTTGTCCCTGTCCCCCATGTCCTCCTCCCCCTGCACACATGCGACACCTGCTGCTTCACCGGGATTGAGTCTTGTCTCCCAGCCTCTGGGCCACTTCCTGGAAGACATTAAACCTCATGCCAACAGGGCCACGCACTTAGTTGGCTCTTTCTGTATGCCTCGCCTCGAACTCAGAGCCCACAGATCTTCCCGGACGTGGGTCTGTAGTTGGACCAGGCTCAGACAGTGGGTCACCCGGCTCAGTCACCAGCCAGTCTGCAAAGCCTCCTGCCTGCCTCCAAAGCCCAATGCTCGGCCCTTAGCAGGGGTCTCTCAGCTTTTCCCCACTCCTCTGTGCACCCCTTTTCAAAGTATAAAACCAAATATATAAGATTAAGTGAAATATAGTGATCAAAACTATAAAAAAAGAACCAATTTGGTGGGGCATGGTGGTGCACACCTATAACCCTAGCATTCAGGAGGCTGAGGCAGGAGGATTGTCACGAGCATGATCCTCAAAGCCAGGATAAGAACTTTGTCTAGGTCTGGTCCTGCTCTCTTTGGGGCTCACAGTCCGATCTGCACAATTTCCATTCTTTCTTGTCAAAGTCACACTGCCTCACTAGTGCCCAACCCCAGCAGAGGGGCAGGAAGTTTGCAGCAGGAGCAAACTCGACATGGAAGCTGTGAAGGGACAAGAGTGAAAACCCTAAATTTTGCCAGGAGTGGAGGCACACACCTGTAATCCCATCATCCCGGAGGCTGAGGCAGGAGAGTCACCGTGAGTTCATGGCTGGCCTGGGCTACATTAGAGAGACCCAGCTGCAGAAAAGCAAAATCAAAAATAAAATCCCTAAATTCCAAGAGAATTTCCTGGGCCAGAGGGGACCCAAAAGAGTGGGCGTGGTGGGTGACCGTGGCCATCACCTTGCCTGGGGCAGGTCCAGCCAGGGGGACACATGCAGAGAGGACAGAAAGCCATTCAGTGTCCAGAGATCCAGCCTGACATTTGGATTCGGGGGCTCGTGGAGAGTCCTGCACATCCTCCTCTCTGCACCCCAGGGGCTCCGGAGCCAAGTTCCCAGACCTCAAAGTGAGAAGCCCCTGAGTTTTAGGGACCAGGGCTGCAGGCTAAACTGGGGGCGGCAGCCACAAACCCACACATCTGTCAAACCCAGGCCCTTCCCTGTCCTTCCCACGGGCCCTGGGCGGTGGTCTCCTCTCTCCCCTCCCCCTCTGTCCACTCCCTCCCAGGTCACCGGAACTGGAGGGTGACTGGGTGTTACTGGACTTCCACTAGGGCAGCCAGCTTGTAGATCACTCCCACCCTACAGCCTGGTGACATCTATAGCCAGGTGACATTAGAGAGGAGGGGTCCCGCCCTAAGGCTCAAAGCAGACATGGCGGGACAGCACAGTCCGATGCCGACACCCTCTCCCACCAGACGGCAATCTCTTGGGTGGCCGGGCTGTTTCTGTGTCCCTTCAGGGCACACAGGGTTCCCAGGAGGCACCCTGGAGGGATTCAGGCAGTACATGAACTTCCGCTGTGCTGAGCACTTCTCCAGCACCCTGTGGTCATGGGTCTATCATGTCTGTGTTCCTAGGAGTAAACTGAGGCTCAGTGCAGCCCACAGCGGGGTGGAGGAAGAATAGGGTCCTGACCCCAGAAGGCGCCCTGCTGTGAAGCCCAGGGCACGTGTTGGCAGACACAAGGCAGACAGAATAGGCTGGCAAGTGTAGGTCTTGGGTTCGACTCCTCTCTCTGACCC